AGTAAAAACTCGACCAGTAGTAAATATTTCATATTCATAGAAACGGAGTGGGATTGGAAATAGTTGGAGTCGGAGTAGCCGCCACAAACGATAAACTATTCATTAATGAGTCAAGAGCGAGTTGTTTCGCGTTGCGTGTGCGTATCTTCCTGCTGGAAGTTTTCCCAGCAGCGAATCGGGACGAGGAGAGAAACGAGGAGAGGAGAGGAGAGAACGAAAAAAATGAAAGTCGAAATGCACGCTCGCGAGCAGATAAAACGTTTCTCCGCGGATTTCGCTGGAATCGGGCCACGGGGCACGACTCTGAATTTCAAATGTACTTTTTAACAAGCGGCGGCGCGATGCTGATCCGAGATCGTGGCGAACGATAAATTTATCTGCGAGAACTAATGGGAATGCTCGCTGATATTGAGGGCCGCGTCATTCGTTGATAAACACGCTGTCACGTTTGCCGATTTCATTTTTCACCTTGTCGCTTTCGCGTCCGAGGCGACGCTTTTGTTTTCGCGATCGAACGACGGGTTACTTTTTCGATATCGCTGCGATCGACAGCTGTACAGAAATAAATAAATAAATAAAAAAAAAAGAAGAAAAGATTTCACACGATATGCGCCTTCGTATCTACAAAACTGTACATTACAATTTTCGCGTACGAGAACGCGATGAATCGTCATTTTCGTTTTCACGGCGTAGAGTAGTTTTCGAATTGTACTTCCCTAAAAGAAACGCATCATCAAATTAGCAGTTGTGTTAATAAATTTGCAAGTTTCTCGTTGTTTTCATCGCTAATTTTACTCGAGTCGAGTCACTTTCGTGTAACATGTAGTTTGTGGAAATGTTATTAACAGCGCTCTGTTAAACGATGGTAAATGGTTTTTTCATTTCTGATGGAAAAAAAACCACGCTCGTTTGAGATAGGAAACACACCAGTCGCAATGATCGCGAATCTTCCTGTAGAATATTCGTAATTTTCTAGAGCATTCAACGTACGATGGGCTTTCTATGTACGATTTTAACATGGGAACCTCACGCGAGATCATTGCCACACGTAAGATTTATATGCATTCGTAACATCTATCGCTCTGTGCGTGTGGAAAAGCGTGAAAATTGAGATTTTCGAGCCACGTAACACATGTGAAATATTCGAAATGAAATACAGTGACGAGAAGGAAAAGTCATTATATAATTATATTATAATAAGTCTTTATATAATTATATTTAAACATTATATATACTGTACCTTAAAATACATGACGTATACATTTTTAAATCGATTTCACGATACAATTAACTGAGATTACAGATCTCTATCTATACAATTGCCATTTACACGCGTTTTAATCTTTTTGGGGGCCATTTCTTTAATTACGTTCATAAAAATATTTATATATTTTATATAATATTTAAATAGTATTTGTACTTAAATTCGCAGTCTACTTATTGGTTTTAATCGAGGTACGTAGTTGTCGAGCACGTAACCTGCTGACTTGGAGTGCGTAGTATCGTACGCTCGTGGACAGAAAGCCACGAAAGCGTGGAAACAAGTCACTTAGGCAACGTAACGTCAAAGACAATGCCCGGCACCACGCTCTGCCTGCCCGCGTACCCGCTTCTTCTTCTATCTTTCCGCATTTTGCCTGTCACCGTATTTTTGACCTCCGTGGAACACGCTGTGAGCACGCTCCTGTGTTTCTCTTTTGTCTTTGGTTACAATGCTGGTTACACATGCTGCCTGATTCACTCTTTTCGAACTGAGATTTCAGTTCACTGGGTTACTTTAAACTTCGTCTTAAAAAAAAAAAAAAAAAAAAAAAAAGGGAAACAATGTTTGTGATTTT